GGAAATATCAACACGGTCATTTCACTATTTATAATAGTATTTATTGGATTCCACCCCCACCACCACCTTCTCCCCACCTCAGGCTGCTCCAGGCAAACACTTTCTCTGCCTTTGAGTTTGCAGAGCTGCTAGAACTACAGAGCCCTGCACTTGAAAAGTGCTTTTATGCTTTGCCATATCATAAACATTAAATAAACATAAGAAATATCAACACGGTCATTTCACTATTTATAATAGTATTTATTGGATTCCACCCCCACCACCACCTTCTCCCCACCTCAGGCTGCTCCAGGCAAACACTTTCTCTGCCTTTGAGTTTGCAGAGCTGCTAGAACTACAGAGCCCTGCACTTGAAAAGTGCTTTTATGCTTTGCCATATCATAAACATTAAATAAACATAAAGCACTCACATAGGAAAATACAGGGAACAAGGTCTTTAAAACCTGTTTTTGCTCCATTATTAGCAACGAATTGACTGCAACGAACAGAAGGGTAGCAATCTCTTTTGCACCGCCGACTATAACCCCCTTTGTGGCTCCGATGGCAGAACTTACGGAAACAAGTGCCAGTTCTGCAGGGCAGTTTCGTAAGTATGGAGCTCACCACATAGCCATGAAACCAGAGGAGCTGGAGCACACATGCATCAGCAGCAGCTGGTGTGGCAGCCCTGGAGCTCCCGTTAGCCCCTCAGTAAACCCATCCCTGCCCCGCGTTCCTCTCCCGACGCTCGCTCCTCTGTCACCCCCCAGGCACTGAAGATCTTAAGCCTGAGTGAGTGAGTCTTCTCCTTCCCTTGCAATTAAATCCAGATCCCCATTTGCAGGCTCATAGCGTTGCTGACTCCCTCCCCGCCAGAGTGATTGAAACTGTGACCATAGGAGGTGTCCAAAATGATGGGGTTTGTCCCAAATCTCCTTCATGTGTAACCTGGGGAATCAGGAAAGAGGTGAAACATTAAGCGAAGTACTTTGTAATGTGGAGAGCATGAAAGCATTGGCTTATTTGGGTGAAGTTAGACTGTAAAACTGAGATCCGTGTCCGTAATTTTGGTCTCCCTCTTTCTCTTCAGGCGGAGCCGCGGCGTTCTGTTCCTCAAACACAGTGGCGAGTGCTGAGCGCTGGAGCCATACCCTGCACCCTGATTTTTCCCTTACAAATCCTGCAACCAAAAACGGTCTTCCCTGCTCCCTCGACTGATGCACATTGGTCTCCGCTTTGATTGATCAATAAATTAAATGCAGCCGCTCTCTTTGCCATGGACTGGTTTTTGGTGGTTTTTTTCAGGGCAGGGGTAATGGTCTTCAGGCTTTTAGGTACTTATCTGTCAGGCAGGAGAAGTTGTGAAACAAACCACAATAAAGAGCAAAGTGTAACACCCATCACACACCAGCCCAAGCCCTCACGAGAGTATGTCACTCCATACCAAACCATCAGAAGAGAAACCAAGCTGCTATAAAATACTGCCGCTTTCTTAATTTTGGTGTCTTATAGAGTGTAAAAGGATTTGTCTTTGTAACAGCACTGAGTCTTGGAGGAACTGGTCCTTTTAGGGGCCCTGGCATGGGGGGATGGCCCCGGGAAAGTGTGAGAGAGAAAGGTGGCCGTGGTCAGCCCTTCCTGGCCACACCTGGGCAAGGGGCAGGTCTGGCCGTGCATTATAGAAAGGAGGCTTATGGCAAAGGGAGGAGGCTGTCTCATAGGGAAGAAAATTAGGAACTGCTGCTTCCTTGAAGGGTGTGTCCATCGAGACTATGTTGATCAGCAGAAAATTGCAGCAAGCTAGGCAAGGCTGTAATGAGCCTAATGAGAACCTGAGGAGAAATTAGACTGGGCTCGGGCTTTCAGCTTCTTGGAGAAGAGATCTGAAAAGTTGTACTTGCGGTATTTGAGGCGGAGGTAGGACAGGGGACCCTTCAGGAATAGGTCTTGGATTTTCTAACCCTAGGAAAGAAGGGCCAGAAGATGTGTTGGTAGCTCCAAGATGCTTTCTATCTTGGGAAAAAATGTATGGAGATAACATCTTTGTGGGAGCCTGAAGAGTGCACTGGAGGAGCAATGACGTATATGAACGTTCATGATGATGTGCCATCTTTTTGGGTGAGTCAAGGAGTTAATACGCAAACAGCACAGGCAAAAAGTCCCTAGTGCCACAGCTCACACACTCCCTTCCTCTTCCTTTCTCCACCTCCCATTCTCTTCTTTGGCAGCAAGAATATCTGCTGCTAAGGCTGATATTTAGGACAAAATCTGTGACTTCCAAACCTTTTCTTTGGATCTTGTTTCCTGAAGTAGATAATTTCTTGACCAGGAATTTTGTAGGTCCTTCTCACCAGAAGATAAGAGGCTTGTCCTTCCTAGTACTAGCACAGAGCAGTGCTTCGTATTTTCAGGTTTTTTTCTGTTAGTACAGGCAATATAAATCACATCATGCTTTTGTGCCTGCTCTTAAGAAAAGACAAACTGGAGAGTCATGAGAGTCCTCACTGCTTACCTCTTTGTGTGTGTGTGAGAAATAATTAAGGAACAGTCTAAGTAGCTAGCGGATGTGAACAGAGACCTGTCAGCACAGGACAGAGCTCTGCTGTAATTTCTTGTTGGCCAAGAGGTTTATAGAGTGGCCACAGACTAGTGGAGTTTTGGCCATAGCAGGGAATTGTCTTCAACAGCAAGATCCCAGGGTGAACCTCCTCTGCAGAGGTGGTTTCTGCCTGAGGAAGCCAGATACTTGCTTAGGAGCTCAGAAGGCTTTGGAAAAGCCCAAAGAAGAGCTGCTCACCTACAGGGAAAGGGAGGGCAAATGGCAAGTACTGGGTACATGGCTGTATCCTAGATGCCTCGTGAGCCTCTAAGCAAGAACTCTTTAGAAGATGGAAAGGTTTGTATCCCATAAGACTAAAGACTGGCCCAGCACAGGAAAGCACTTGGCTTGACACCAGCAAGACTCTGCCCAGCTACACCCCTTAGACTGCAAAGCAAGGTCTAGGCGCCCTTCTTCTATCCTTGATTTTTCAGAGAAGTCAGAGGGACAGAAGAATTCCCTCACCTATGCCAGCAAGTGGCCTGTTTCAGATGTTATAAAGAAGTGGAAAGGGGTAATAACGATAATCACCTGGTTGGTAATTTAGTCTCTTCCTCTCCTCAGCCCAGAAGGGATTGGTGCCTGCGGTACGTTTGCTAAGGCTTTAGCCAGTCAGTTAGGCTGCAGCGACCGAAACGTTTGGTTAGAGGACTGAGGCATTAAGGCTGTGGTTGCGAGCAGTGACGCATGAAACTAGAAAAGGCAAACAAGTAGTGCTGCGAGTGGCAGAACTAAGCGTGATTTTGAATGGCGCTGCGGCTGACTGACTTGATAACTAAATTATATGAGAGGCTGTGTCGTGAGCTCACCCTTAATAGACATCTGAGAATTCACCTGTCAGTCATGGTTTCTCTGCTGCGTGGATTTTAAGATGTCTAGCAAGCTGCAAACTAATGCTTCCCCAGATGTCGGGCATTCATAACATTGTTTTCCTGCAGAAACTGTCTCCCTTGCTGGCTGAGGACGTTAGTAGCATCTTTCCTCTGTTGCTAGAAAATGTATAAAAATTTTTAATTTTTTTCACTCCTATGTCAAATTTGGTTGGAACTACTTGCAGATTCAAAATTTGCTGGGGGAACTAATAAACAGATACAGCTATACACATTGCTTCCTTGTCTTCTTAGGAAAGCATACTAAAATTTTAAGCTTATTCTTATCTGAACAGATACTTTGCAAATGGTGCAGCTGACCACAAATCCTTGCACAGA